ACTCGGTGGACGGTTCTTGCAAGACTCTGGGTGCGATCCACTTCACGCTGCAAATGCTTTAAAGCATTCTTTGATTGGTCAATTCGTAAAATTCTTTCTTCTGATTGGGAACGAAACATTTGTATAGCATTAAGTAGATCGCACCTCTGTCGAGTCCGTTGCTTCTAACTATGTCTTTGCTTCTAATATAAAATAAATCCAGCGCTATCAATTAGGCTGTCACATGGCCTCTCCACGCATCTCCGACCAATCACATTGCAGTGACGTCAAGGCGCGAATTCTCTGGGTCAAATGAGTGCGTTCTTTTCTAGATTGGATTATCCCCACTCCTCCAATGCGTACTACAGTACTTATGGTTCTAACATCCTGGACATTGGGCCTTAAGGCCGTTATTCGTCAAAATATTCATAAAGTTGAAATATTGGGCGAGTTCAAGACGGCAAAGTAGCTAGGTACGCTTGCCGAGCAATCGAATATATGATTGGTTGGATCTATAAGTAATAATCAATTATGTTCATTTGCTTATGGCGAGCAGGCTTGCCGCTTTGTCAACTTGAACGTGCCCATATGACATAAGATTCCATTAACCTTCCAACAATATTAAAATGTAAAGTTTATACAAGGTTGCTGAAATATGGACACAAGATTCCATTAACCTTCCAACAATATTAAAATGTAAGGTTTATACAAGGTTGCTGAAATATGGACACAAGATTCCATTAACCTTCCAACAATATTAAAATGTAAGATTCATACAAAGTTGCTGAAATATTGACATAAGATTCCCTTAATCTTCCAACAACATTATAAAGTAAGATTACATTGTAAGATTAGTGGCATACACCAGTAACCTTTCCACAAAACTATGTAAGATTGTAACCATCCTATAACCTTAGTGTAATATCCGGTGCTGTGAGGGTAAGTTTATTAGCGTATCTGATTATATAGATATATGTAAGATTGCAATTAATACATATTCACTTCCATTGTAATATCTCTCAATAATAAAATTTATTATGTTAAAATATTTTAGAGAACATCGTCGATGTAAACATACTGGAAGAGCGTTCGGGTACCATCACCAAGAAAGAGAGAAATCATAATAAAGTTGTCAATTATGAACATTAGAAAGAAACATATAATACAATAACGAATCTGAAGTCATATCACAGATAGAACACACTATGTATAATTAACTTTATAATGAACGTACTTAAAAATGAATAAATATTCTTCTTTTACATCATTTATGCTTCTTTCTAATGTTGAGTATTAAGAAATATAATTTCTCCTTCTTGGTAATGGTATAATCCGAACGGTATTTTTCCAGTATGTCTACATTGATCTTCTCTAAAATATTTTAACATAATACATTTTTTTATTGAAAGATATTGCAATGAAAGTGTGAATATATATATATAAAATAAATATATTCATTTCATTCAATAACCTCATTCAAGGTTTTTTTTTTACCATTTCACTATCTTCCAATAATAAAATATATTACGTTAAAGTAGACAATATGGTAAGACTTTTATGATTTATTTTTGAAATATAAAAAACTTTTATTTTGATCTCTCACCTAAGGTTTGTTCGCGTCGCATGCTCCAATATGCTCCTAACATAGCTGTTGCTCACTTCAACGAGCACGTTGGAGAGAGTAAGAGCTATGATAGGAGCATATTGGAGCATTTTAGAGCGTGCGACGCAAACAAACCTCTAGAATACTATATACATAAGAATCCTTTAAAATTAATATTGATCATTTATGATTCATTTTTGAAATATAAAAAACTGTTATTTTTTTATCTCTCACCTAGAACACTATATTTGATTCAAAATTTTGGAACTCACTGTGTGTGAGTTGACCAGTTTTCAATCACGTGAATCTTCATATTGTTCTGTTAATCAATTTCGTAATAACATTTTACCAAAATTATTAAGTTTATTAGCGTATCTGATTATATA